CCAAGCATAAAGTTACAAAAATGGGGCAGTTCTTTTTATTAAATATACTATTTTTGCAATCTAAAATTCATCTATCAAAAATAAAATAATTTTCTCTTACCTTCTTTATGATGTCCACGGAGTATACGGTGAGAACTTTGCCAAACCCCAGTTGAACACAACAATCCAAAACTGACACCAAAGAGAACAAAAACAACTGATAGTTAACGTTAGAAAATGGAATGGTTACCTTTCCCAGCAGCTGTCTTATAGGGATTTCACATATCCTGCCCTTTATTGCATATTTACCGAACTATATTAATTGTCCATGGAGGGAGATTTCATTTTTGATGGACAAAGTTTAGTAGTCATTTATTTTATAAAAAAATTTTTTTTTTAAATATTAAATAAAAAGTTACTATAAACATTTAACTAGGTAAAACAACAAAAATCATTAAAATAACATTTAAATTGTTTACCAGCTATTAAAAATTATTTTGTGACACAGACGTAAGGACGTCCACGGAGGGGATTTTGAAGTTATGTTTATTAAAAAATGGGTATGAAATATTAAATACATTTAGAAAAAATGTATATGATTTGTTAGTTAGAACTTCACGAAAAATTATGAAGAAAAATATTAAGAAGTCTGCTGTATTTCCTAATATTTATTACTAAGGGACATAAAAAATCACCTTTTTGTTAGAATAACCCATATATATATATACATAACCGTCGTTGAACAGTCGACCCAATTTTTGGGCTTACGACTACTATTGCTCAACTCCATAGCCTTGTAATTTTGAACCCAATCCAGAAGACAAGGGAACTCCGTATTGGGAGAAATTTGCCTTCGTGGAGGACTTTTTGATGGAACTAACCAGCATTCGCGTTACATGGAGACGAAGACCACGAGAGCCTCCCACGGTTAGCCTGGCTGCAAGGGGACTCTAACCCATGATCCGTCTACTGAGGATATTTCAAGTCAGTATTGTGCTCGGTGCGAGTCGGATGCGGAATTCGTATCGATCAGCCATCGCCGGGATCGATCCCCGAATCACCTCATTGGAAGGCGAATGCTCTATCCCCTGAGCCATCGCGGCTCTCACCTGTTCATCTGTAATATATAACATATATGAGTTAAAAATTGATGAAATAAACGGCTATTAATTGAAAACGTATCTTTCAACTGTGCCAAATAGAGCCGTGAGGGCTCAAAAGATAGAGAGCTCACTTTCCAATGAGATAAACTAGATTCGAATCTCAGCAATGACTGGTAGATTCGAATTCCGCACCTGGACTACACTCACGACAGTGCTGACGTAAAATGTCCTCAGTGGTAGATATAACATGAGTTAGATTCCCCTAGCCATCAGGCGAACAGTGAGTGGTTTCAGGGCTAAAGAGAATAGAAGGGCTGGTTCACTCCTTTGAAGTAGCTCTTGCCGCGCCAATACTCCGATTTTCTCTAGTGACGTCACTTTGGCGCAAAGCTCGCACTTTTACTTCAAGAACGGAGCGTTCGGCCTTACTAGCTCTAACTTATATTGGAGGGTTTCTTTTTGCGAGATATTCTAAGACATTTGTTATTTTCTATAATGACTTTCCTCAGTTTTTGCAGTGAATTTACAAGAATTTAAAACTATTAACGAAATGCCAGTTTGCGCGATTGCAACTTGAAAATTTTTTTATATCAAAACGAAAGGAAAAAATATAATTTTCCGCGTGTTCCCTAAGGTAAATGAACAACTATGTAAAGAATGGATTCCGAAATGACACAGTTAATATAAAACAGCAATGCGTTTATTTTGTTGTTAAGAACTTTTATAAAAATTCATAATCTAAATAGAAACCGCCTCGTTACTTCAAAAAGAAAGGCAGGTGAAAAAATTTAAAAAATGGTTAAAGTTAAAGAAAATTGGAATGTAAATAAAAAGTATAAATAAAATATATAGTATATAGTTGGAATTCTCCTAATTTCATAACATATTTTTTAATGTAGTTATTCTACATATTTATGATTTTTTTTTAAAAAATTATATTCTCTTAAATTTAAATATCTATAAATTATATCATCGTAAATTTAAATATCTATAAACAATTGTTAAATTTCTAATGTCATTATGAACCTAAATTATTATTTTGTTTCAGTAATTAAGCGTTTAAGATTGATGTTTCCTAATGATTAAGTATGAACAAATTGCTATTAACAGCAAATTTTAAAATCAGGGATTCTAAATTTAACTCAACTTATTGTTATAAAAGAATATGTAGATAAAAAAAGTGTCGATATATGCTTTCCTTTTTCTTAATAATTAAAGTTAAAACTGAACTTTTTAAAATAAAGTATTTATCGTGTCATTTTCGCCAACTAGTAAAACATTTTTATAAGTTTAAAATGGTATTTTTTTTAATATAATGGTCAAGAAAGTGTTTTTGAATTATGTTTATGAACGGAAATAATGTGTTAATTACGTAAAGTTTGAAAACTTGAAAAAGTCTAACTTATTTTTACAAAGAGAAAGATGCAAAGTTATCATAATATCTTTGCTTGCGATCTCCGAGATCTGTGGACACAGTGACGTCATGAGGAGCGAAATCGTAGCTTCAGCTCTAAGAGCGGAGTGAACTAGCCCTTGTATTCTCTTTAGCCCTGGAGTGGTTTTGTGGTTTTCCTCTCCAAGTAATGCAAATGCGGGTTATTTTTATCAAAAAGACCTCCAAGAAGTCAAATTTCTCCCAACACTTGATTCAGGTTCCCTTGTCTTCTGAATAGGATTCACAATTACAAGGCTATGGATTTGAATATTGGTAGTCGTGAACCCAGAATTGGGTCGGCTGTTCAACGACGGTTATAAAATAAAATAAAATAAAACTGCGCCAAAGGAAAATAATTTTCGAAGAATTTTTTATTTTTAAAAGTACT